AAATCCTGCCCCAAACTCCCCCCTCCATAGACACCACACCAAATCTCCAGGAATTTCCCAGGCTAGAACTGGCAACCCCAGCTGAGGCTTGGATGGACCCAGAAAAGGAACCAGAAATAGTACTGGATTCACACATTGTCGGATGTTGCAGCCTTGTCATTTCTGCTGGAAAAATCCAGGAAAGGAATCATCACAATAATGCAATACTCAACAGCCTGTGGATCCAGACTTTGACTGGTGGCACCTGGGAAAATATTGCAAAAGGGTCTCTGGGTAGCAGGAGCAGGCTCCTAGAATCTTGGGGAAACTGGGACAGTGAGTGGGTCTGCCATTCTGCCTGCTTTTTGCCACCTTCTCCACCTGTATCTTTGTAAGCACGGAGGCGCGTATAAAGGACACCCACATGGGCCTTGCTAAAGGTCGGCTGTTTTCAAGAAAAGGGGAGGATGGAGTCCAGACAAAGTAGAATGCGCAGTCATAAAAAACACTTTAATGCACAAAACATCCGCACGCAGGGGGCACCTTTCGCTATTAGATATATAGATAATAGAATAATAGAACGTGCAGTCATACAAAACATTTTAATAGAACCAACTTGTAGTTTAAAAATGCACCTCATCAAAAGATTCCAGGCTTCTCTTTCTCTTGAAGGGGCTGTCCTCAAAGAGCGGCTTCTCTTTCTCCAAGCTGGAGACCCAGCAAAATACCTTTCTCAGTGCATGCAAGAGGCCACGGGCAGCTGTGTTACTGCTCGCCTGCTTCAACTGCTGTGCTGGAGATCAAGAAGCCCTGGAAACGAAAGCAGCCCAGGTGGTGAGCTGCCAGGACACTTAACAGCTTCAACCTTTCCTACTTCTTGTCTTTAATGGTGTCTTCAATGACACTTGACAAAGGAGCTATGTTTGTATATTAGAATGAGTGTTGCTAATAGGGAATGGGGCACAGCTACTGCCAGGGGGACACCGGTCCAGGGGCCCTGTGGGCAGGCTTGCCAACCTCCAGGTGGCACCTGGAGATTTACAGCTATTATGATTTATCTCCAGATGACCAAGAACAGCTCTCCCGGAGAAAATGGCTGCTTTAGAGGACAGGCTGTATGGCTTTATACCCTGCTGAGGTCCCTCCCCTTCCCAGGCTCTACCCCCCAAATCTCCAGGTGTTTCCCAACCCAGGGCTGGCAACCCTCCCTGTGGGCCTTCAACCATGGGCACCAGAAAAGGGCAGGGCATGAGTGATGCCACCTCCCATATCTGCTGAATGTGCAGAGCTGGTTCATCACCTGTGTGGCCCAACTGGCTTTGTAGGGGACAGGGCTCTTGGAGAACCGAGTTTGGGAGGGGCGGGAGGTCAGTAGGAATACCTTCCAGAGCTACCATGTTCTCCAGGGGAACTGATCAATTGTAATTCTGGGAGAACTCCAGCTCCCTAGTGTTGCAAGGCAGGGTGTGGCAAATGGGGGGGGCTTACTGGTGGCGGGGACCCCCTCACAGTGACAGAATGACCTCCCCTGAGATGTGCTGACATCACTTCCCATGTGACTAAAAACATCAGTGTGACTCTGGGGACATTCTGGCATTGGGGCAAAACCTGGTTGTTTAGCTGTAGAGCCTCTGTCAGGGGCATGTTGGAGAGGATGGAGAGAGAGCGGTGACTGAAGGTCCTGCAAATGTTTTTTAAACAGCTAATTGTAGTTTGGGGGGGGGAGGGGGAGTTGCACTGAGTTAGGGGCTGGGTGGGTGAGTCTTTTCCCCCTTACTGGTGGCGGGGGGCCCCTCACAGTGACAGAATGACCGCCCCTGAGATGTGCTGACATCTCATGTGACTAAAAACATCAGTGTGACTCAGGACATTCTGGCATTTAGGCAACACCTGGTTGTTTAGCTGTAGAGCCTCTGTCAGGGGCAAGTTGGAGAGGATGGAGAGAGAGCTGTGGCTGAAGGTCCTGCAAATGTTTTTTAAACAGCTAATTGTAGTTTTTTGGGGGAGGGGGAGTTGCACTGAGTTAGGGGCTGGGGGGGTGAGTCTTTTCCCCGCTGCCATTTTCTTGACTAAAGTGACCCTCTCTGAGGACACCACCTGTGTGTTTGCCTCCTCACGGTCAACAGCAATTTAAAATCAATACATGGGGACTTTCCTCCTTCTCAGCCCGTCCCCACTTGGAGAATGGCCTAGCACATTATGCTAAGTGCATGGGGACAGAGATGTCATGAATGTTTTGCCTGGCCACAGGTGTGGATTTTCATATTTCAGGTCATCTGACTCTGCCTAGGTTTCAGAAAGATCTTCAGAAAATGGGGCTGATCAAGGACAGGTTCCCCAACATGGTGCCCGTGGGCTCCACAGTACCCACTGATATCTTTTCTTGCACTCACCAACTGTATAATGCCCATAGTGGGATAGAAACCCATGATCCTGGTTAAGTCCAGACCGATAGAGCAAAAAGAAGAATCACGGTTCAAAAATAATACATACTGCAAAAAGAACTATGAAAAAAGGCGCTAGGAACTTCGCAAAATATTATATTATAGATTCATATCCAAGCATATTATACAGATCAGAATATCAAAATAAGCCTCCCAAATAGTATACAGTGTATATAATGTATATAATGCAAACACTGTTTCCAAACAGTGTACAACATGTAGTGTACAATAAGATATGAAATCTTTTTACGAAGATTCTGGATAAATCTTCATTTTGGATGTCTTCATATCATAAATTTGTGTTTGCTCATTTATACCACCAAAACCAGTTTTACATCATCAGGATTCAATCAATACTAATTAAAGGCTGGAAAGGTTCTTAAACTGAGCTACCAGTCACCATATGCAAGAAAGAGATCACTCTAGAATGTTTACAAAGCTGGCTAGGCCCATGTGTTAACCAGCTTTTGTCCCTCTCCCCCCACTAATTAGTATTCTAAACCAGACCGAGGACCTCAGTTTTATTTTTATTTTATTTATTTTTATTTTAGCATTTATATCCCGCCCTCCCCGCAAGCGGGATTAGTAGGGGGGACTAATTTCAATATTGTTTAAATAAATAAACTCCATGTAATCCATCAACTTGTATTCATACTTTCCTCTGTAGCTAGACTTATTCTCCAGCCATCAGAATATCAAAACAAGCCTCCCAAATAGTATACAGTGTATATAATGTATATAATGCAAACACTATTTCCAAACAGTGTACAATATGTAGTGTACAATAAGATATGAAATCTTTTTACGAAGATTCTGGATAAAACTTCATTTTGGATGTCTTCATATCATAAATTTGTGTTTGCTCATTTATACCACCAAAACCAGTTTTACATCATCAAGATTCAATCAATACTAATTAAAGGCTGGAAAGGTTCTTAAACTGAGCTACCAGTCACCATATGCAAGAAAGAGATCACTCTAGAATGTTTACAAAGCTGGCTAGGCCCATGTGTTAACCAGCTTTTGTCCCTCTCCCCCCACTAATTAGTATTCTAAACCAGACCGAGGACCTCAGTTTTATTTTTATTTTATTTATTTTTATTTTAGCATTTATATCCCGCCCTCCCCGCAAGCGGGATTAGTAGGGGGGACTAATTTCAATATTGTTTAAATAAATAAACTCCATGTAATCCATCAACTTGTATTCATACTTTCCTCTGTAGCTAGACTTATTCTCCAGCCAAGATTCCTGCAGGAAAAGAGGAGGAATTGGGGTGGGTGGGATCAGTCATGCACAAGCTCAATAGCAAGCTGGGGGTCACGCAGTTGTGAATTTAACGGTGCTTAAAACTGGCATCTGAATGCAGCTTCAGTGTCATGGGCATCATCTAGCCCCCTTGTTGCTTCCAGATGCCTCTACTGAGGTGCCAGGAGCAAACTGGAGGAGCTTGAGAAATCACCCTCTAGTTGCCATCAATGTTCCCTCTAAGCTGTGGAGTCTCGTGAGCAAAAATTCTACTTTGTGAGCTACTGGCATTAAAGTTGTGAGCGAGTGATTTGGCTGCTGTATAAATTAGTTTGCTCTGGAGCCATCCTCCCTGAGCTAAGGCAAAAATGTGTGAGCCGGAGGCTAAAAAACTGTGAGCTAGTTCA